CAGTGAAGCCATAAGATCCTGGGCTTTTTTGAGGTTGGAAATTTTTTGTTACCACTTCAATATTACTGCCTGTTGCAGGGTTATTTAGGATTTTTAAGTCTTCTTAGTTCCATTTTGACAAGTTATATATGTGTGGGAATCTCCATTTCTTCTGAGTTCTTAAATTTATTGGCACACAGTTTTGTGAAGTAGTTGCTAATAATCTACAATTTCAACCGCATTCAAGAGGCAGAAGCAGGAAGATTGCCCTGAGTTTGAGGCCAGCCTGGGCTGCATAATTCAAGGCCAGCCTGGGCTACATAGCAAAACCCTGTCTCAAAAAAAGAAAAGTTTTCCAGGCATGGTGGCTCATGCCTGTAATCCCAGCACTTGGGAGGCTGAAGCAGGATTGTTGCGTGTTTGAGACCAGCCTGGGTTACAAAGTGAGCTCAAGCCCTGCCCAAACTGCATAGAGAGACCGTCTCAATTAAAAAAAAAAAAGAAAGAAAAGAAAGAAAAGTCTGAATTTCTAGTGTGTGCTGTGATTTTGCCTTTTTAAATTCTAATTGCATTGATTTTTGTCTTCTCTTTCCTTTTTTTAAATTGATTAAGGATTTGTCTATTTTGTTTATTCTTTGAAAGAACTAGCTCTTTGATGCATTGGTTTTTTTTGTGTGTTGTTTTTGTTTTGTGTTGTTTTAGTCTGCATTTCATTGGTTTCTGCCCTGATCTTTATAATTTCCTTCCTTGTGATAGCTCTGGATTTGCATTGTTCTTGTTTTTGCAGGACCTTGAGGTACATCATTAGGTTATTTATTTGAGCCCATTCTGTTTTTCTGATGTGGGTGTTCACTGCTATAAACTTTCCTCTTAGGGTTGTTTTCATTGGACCCTCACAGTTTGAATATGTCATTTCATTTGATTCTTCATTGTCATTTGATTCTAGGAACTGTCTAATCTATTCCTTAATTTCTTCTGTGACCTATTTATTATTCATGAAGTTATTGTTTAGTTTCCATATGTTTGCATAATTTCTGTGGTTGATTTTGTTATTAATTTCTAATGATTTCACTATGATCTGATAATATGCATGGGATAATTTTGATCCTTTTACTTAAGCATGCTTTGTGAACTAGAATGAAGTTTGTGTTAGAGAATATCCCATTGTGCTGTTGAGAAGAATGTGTATTCCATTTTTGGTGTGGGTGGGTAAAACACTACCAAATGGTAGATATCTACTACCATTTGTTCAAAGTTTAGCTCAACCTTGCTATTTCTTTGTTGATTTTTTTGTCTAGGTGATATATTTTTGTCAGTGGGATATTGAGTTCCCCCATTATAATTGTATTGGTGGTTATCTGATTTTTTTTCATATTCATTAGTGTTTATTTTATGAAGTTGGTGTATATGTTTATAATTATTATCGCTTCCTATTGAGTTGTTCCCTTAACCAGTATGTGATCATGTTTGTCTCTTCTGATCATTTTTTTGTATATAACAGGAGGTGTATTGGAGGGACTGTCACTATTTCTTACAAAAACAAGTTTATGTAGCCATTTTTATACTGGAAGTGATTAACAATAGTTTCATGACTACCACCTAAGTCTGATCAGTTTTGGCTTGAAATCTGCTTTGTCTGAAATTAGGGTAGTTGCTCTTGCTTTTTTCTGAGTTCCCATTGCCTGGTATGGTATATTGTTTTTCATCCTTTGATTTTTTAATCTGTGAGTTTCTTTTTGAATTAAAAGTGTTTCTTATATACTGCTTATTGTTGAATTTTGTTTCTTTGTCCGTTCTGCCAATCTATGTCTTTTTATTTATATTGAGAGCTATTACTGAAAGGTAATGATTGATTTTCCTGTTCTCTTTCTTCTAATTAATTCTTTATACTTCAAAGTGTAAATTCATTCTATTTGGTGTATTAGCAGCATTGTTGGCTTCATTGTCTCTTTCTGGGCTATACCTGAGAATTTTTTCTAATGTTGGTTTGGTGATTATGAATTTCTTGAAGTGCTCCTTGTCATGGAAATACCTTATTTCTCCATCAGTTTTGAAGGAAAGTTTTATAGGATATGTAAGTTGGGGTTGGAAGTTCCTGTCTTTAGGGTGCAAAACACTTTACTCCAAAAGTCAGCTGTAATTCTAGTGGGTATAATTTAATGTGATTTGTTGCTTTTCTCTAAAACTTTTAAGATTTTGTCTCTGACATTCTAGATGTCATTCTGAATGGACTTCTGATATTTTGATTATAAGGTGACATGAAGAGGTTCTTTTCTGGTCATAGCTGTTTGGGGTTCTGAATACATTACTTACAGATATGTTTATTTCTCTTGTTTTGTGCTGAGGTTTGTGAACATTTACAGTGTAAAGGCTTTGTCGTTGGTATAGGAATCTCATTAGTCACTTTGCAGTGATGTACTTTGGGCAAAGCTAACTATAATCCTTTGCCTTGGTTACTTTGAAAGGGTAGGGTTTAGTATAATGACCTAACACTTGAGTTCTCTGATAATCTAGCATTGTATGTTAATGTCACAAAGGTAATCTGGGTATTGGTTTACAGAGAAAACCCTTTAATAGTGACAATTATGGGATCCTGATGTTATCAAACAAATCAGCTACAGTAGAATCACCCAAGACAAATTGGATATTACTACACCATATGAACCAATTCTGTACCACCTTTGCCCTAAAGAAGAAATCCATATAAACACTAACACAACCTAGGTATTACTTATAGCTGCTTTGTTCTAAATGCGACAGCTGTATCTCTGCTAAGGATTAAAATGAATTTTACAGTAACTTTATAGTTAATAACCTAAAGATTAATAAAGCTTTATGGCCATACTATTAAAGATAAAGAGGGTTGGGTCCTGGGGAACACAAGAAAAAAAATTTTAAGAAGAAAAATTTGAAACCTTAAACTATAGGATATGAAGAGAAGAGAAGAGGGACAAAAGATTTTATTGGTGAGTAAAAGGATGTTTATAGAATTAGGTAAAGGTAACAGAAGAAAATCCATGAGAAATAGAAGAAAAAAGGAAAAAAAATTTATAGAGAATAAAAATAAGAGAAAAAAAGGAAGAAAAATAAAAGGATTAGAGAGGGGAGAAAAAGAAGAAAAAAATAGAAAAAAAAAAAAAAGAAGCAAGTTAAAAAGACAAAGCAAGTTTCCCCAAATGCCAATAAACCCACGAAGAAGAAACAAGAAAGGAAAGACAGACATGCACACACTTCTCTGTGATTTTTGAATGCAAGGTTTTCTTTCTAGATTCACAATTTTATGACAGTGTCCAAGTCAAGAAATGTGCTTGCTCACGCTGAGAGATAAAGAAAGCAGTGAGACTTCAGATCCATTCTGGATGCAGGCGCCAGCAGGCAGTAGGTGTAGGATGAGAGCTCCAGTGCCGTCTTTCAAATCCAGAGCAACTAGGTCTGAGCCTGGCCTCCGGCTATGGGAGCAGGCCCGTGTCCTTTAGCACAACCCCTTCAGGGAGTCTCTTTCTAGCCTGCTTTCTGAGGTTGTCTCTCACGTCCGTCTCATGACCGACCACTGGGAGGGGAACACTGGGAGCCCTGAAGTAGAGCTGCCCCGCAGCCTCTCTGGAATGATGACTGACCAAGCACTGTCCCTAGGGACCTGGTAGCTCCAGGGACATCCTCAGCTGTAGCCTGTCAAAGGACTCCTAGGGGAGCAGACTCTTGTGCTGTCCCTGCAAATCACAGTATAATTACTGCAGTACACTCCAACATCTCATTTCTCCTGGGGTCCCCTGTAGACCCAGCATTTACTTGTCTCTGTAGGTTTGGTTTCCCTTTCTTGCTAGCTGGAAGCCAGGGAGAAAGTAGTGCCTGTTACCTCCTTTTTCTGCATTGCATTGTCTTTTTTCAACTTTTTATGACTTTTAATTTATCTGTGAGATCCTTCTTGGCTCCAGGGAATCTATCTATCTGTCTTGTCTTGTCTTGTCTTGTCTTTTCCTTTTCTTCCTTCTCTCTCTCTCTCTCCCTCTCTCCCTCTCTCCTTTCTCAAATTGCTGTTTCCCAGTGTGTGAATTCCAACTCTTGGAGAGGCTAGTTGTAGCCACTTACCAGTCCACCATCTTTTCTGTCCACAACTCCCTCATCTGTTCTTCTATGTCATTTTTTCTAGGTTAAAAAGTTCTTGACAGTAGTTATTTATTTTGTATTTGTAGCTTTAGAGATTAATGACACTTAATTTTTATTAAGAGAATAAATGGTTTCTTTTTTAAAGTAAGATATGGATACGATACCCATTAAACTACCTTCAGCTTTGAGACTTAACTTCTCCAAGCTCTTAAGCATGTATCTTCATTTGAAATTGTCTCCTTTATTTCCTGTTGCAAGCAACACACCATTTGTTTTTATTCTATCCTGCTGCTTCTCTGACCCAGGGAGAGAGTTAATTGTTGGAAAATCTCTGTATCATTCCTGAAGTTACTTGGGAATTTTGAGGTGATCTTTGTTGTTCTAAACTAGCTCTAAATTTTGACTTTTTTGAGTCAAATTTATTTATTTTGGTACTGGAGATCAAACTCACATCCTCATGCTTGCCAGGTAGGCACATGGATCACTGAGCTAAACCGGCCCTCATGTTTACTTTCTATGAGTAAAATTAGGTTTTTCCACTATCTGCTGTTCACAGAATCTCTTTTTTTAACTTTTTGATCTTAGAAGGGTAGGGAGTGTTCAAATACAGACATTGAGAACGTTTGGTGTGGAAGAAGTACATCTGTAACATGCAGACATCAGTGATGACCTATTTTCTGGACATCAAATCGGGAAAGCAAAAGTATTACATTGGAAATGTACCTAGACCCAGGCCTGAGTTCTTTGGACACTGGTTATTTTAAGCATCTATAACTTAAAATGCCTCATTGTGCATTTTGAGAGCTTCATTTGGGATTTGGTAGTTTTATCCTATCTTTTTGGGAATTTCCTTGTTCATTCCTCAATATTCTGTGTTAGTATGAAATTGCCCTCATCTTGTGATATTTTTCCAGGGTGTTACCCTAACAGACCTTCAAGAAGCTGAAAAGACTTTTAGCCGTTCAAGGGCAGAACGCCAAGCTCAAGATCAGCCTAGTGAGAAGCCTGTCAATACTGCAGGGCTGGAAGGGAGCAGCGAGAAGCAAGATCCCTCAACAAAACTGGCAAAGGAAGCTGGGGAGAGCCAGCAGCCTTGGGGCAGAAGTCTGGATGAGGAGGTAGGCTCATTGGGTGCCATGTAATGTGCTAAAAGCAGCATATTTCGGTGAATCTGTTCCTCACTGATAATTGAAGTGCTGTTTCCTTTGCAGTGTACCACTCTTTTAAAAAGCTGTTTGTAGCCAGGAGTGGTAGCACACACCTGTAATTCCTGCACTCTGGGTGAATGATGCAAGAGGATCGAAAGTTTGAGCCCAGCCTCTGCAACTTAGTACCCTAGCGAAACTGTCTCAATTTAAAAATAAAGGATTGAAGGTGTAGCTCAGAATAAGGGTCCTGGGTTTGCTCCCCAGTACCACAGAAATAAAGCAAAATACTGTTAATGGCTGTCTTTGGTTGGCAAACCTGTGACTGAAAAAACTCAGAGGATGCTAGTCTTTAGCCTTTGTTTTTCTCTGGGAATTAACTGATGCATTTGAATAAAAATGTTTCTTTTCTAAAAAGGGAGGTCATTGGTAATACAATGCAAATAAAAATACAAGCATTTATTGAGGTTTATGCCAGGTACTATTTTAAGCATTTTGTGTGTATCAATTCATTAATCCTCAAACAACCCTCTGAAGTAGACATTACCATTTCAGTTTTATATGTGGAATCTGAGTCACAGAGGCCAAATATTTTACACATCTAAGGAGCAGGTAAATAAGGATTGTAACACTTTTAACATAGGAATTCTGTTGCTGAGACACAATACCTGACACCCACAATTTAAAGGTGGAGAAGTTTATTTTGGCTCACAGTTTAAGAGGTTTCAGTTCATGGTTGGCAGGTGGATGGGCCTATGTGGAGGAAAGCTGCTCATGTCATGGCAGTCTGAAAGCTGGGAGAGCAAACAGAAGAGCAAGGGAAGGGAGGTACACCCTTTTAAGTCATACCCCCCGCCGTGACCTAACTCTTAACAGCAAGTCAGCTATGAACTCACCACCAGATTGATCCACCAATGAGTATAGCACCATCATGATCCATTCACCTTCCAAACACACAAGGCTTTTGCAGGATACCCCAGATCTAAACCGTAACACAGTCTGATTTGACATTTGCTCTCTTAACCACTGATGTTCTCCAAACAGCTGCAGACTTGAGATCTTACAAAGTATTCCTGGAGGTCACTTTTGGGATGAACCCTTTGATTTATTTTTCAGTTCTGTGTTGGAGTTCTTAGTCACAGGTACAAGGTTATATTTAGGGCAAACATAATCCCTGGTTTACCTAAGATGATTCAAATTACAGCTGTTGTCTCTGTGTAGTTATCATTACTATTCCTTCTTTGTATTGTCAAAAGTATCCCATTAGAGACTGAAAAATTTTATGATCGCTATAGTTACAGGAGAAAAGAGTCTGTTTCTCACTGTAACTCTTAACTGGCTAGTTTCTGTGTGCTAAGGTTCTGTTGCATATTTTGTCTTATCTGCTATCCTTTATTTATTGAGTATTTATTACTGAATATTGTGCTAAACACCTAACACACATTATGTCATTACCAAATCCTCACCATTTGGTCTAAAGACAGTTTTATATCCCTACTTTACAGATGAGGAAGCTGAGGCTCCAAAGTTTATTTCATTTTATTGCTTCTATCTTTGTATTTTTTAAATTTAAAAGTTTAGAATCTCATGGTAGCATGTGCAAGGCCCTGAGTCCCATCCCCAGCACCTCAAAATAAATAAATAAATAAACAAACAAACAAATAAATAAATAAAAAGAAAGAAAGAAAGAAAGAAAGACCTCTTCATTGTAAACTTAATATGTATTAGGATTTATCTCTTGGTATTCCATAAACCATGTTAAGGTTATTGTCAGTTTTGTCTTAACTCATAAAAAATTTTCAAAGTGAAAATGAGAATATAAAAGAAGTTTCAGGGGACCAAGCATGTAGCTCAGCAACAGAGCACTTGTCTAGCATGTGTAAGGTCTTGGCTTTATTCCCAGCACCATATAAAGATGATAAATGAGGGCTGGGGATTTAGCTCAGTGGCATAAGCACCTGCCTTACAAGCACGCAGTCGTGAGTTCAATCCCTGGTACTGATTTAAAAAAAAAATGATAAATGAATGAGTGCATAAATGTTTCAGTAGCTCTTTTTATGGCTAGTTGGAGAGTATTCAGAAATAGGTAAAATGCTCATATTTGTTCTTTGATGATTCCTACATTATTCTTCTTCATATTCCTGAGTCTTTTATTTTCCTACATAAACTTTGCCTCTCACTGCTCCATTTTAAGAGGGCCATTATTCTCCTTTTTTCCATTCCAAGATCAAAAGAATTTTTATTAACATATCTAGTGCCCTTTGATCATTTTAGGAGTTATTTCCTGGACTACCATCAACATGATGGTGTGGTCAAAGTAGGAGTTTTATGCGAGATATAGATTTTAGTTCCATGGATCATGTCAACTATTAATAAACCTCTTAATTTTAAATTTAAAAAAGCCCATTTTGGACAGGAGATTTAGCTCAGTGGCTTAAGCATCTGCCTGGTAAGTACGAAGTCATGTGTTCAATCCCGATACAAAAAAAAGCCCATTTTGAATAAATCTGCCATTGTCTTGTGGATTATTTTCAGCCTGTCTATCGTCGCCTGAGGTGTCCAAGTCAGCCAGAAAAACCAACAACCTCAGTGTTACCTTCTGTTTCAAGACCCTCACTCTATACCAGTTCCCATCTGCTACGGACAAGTAGATCTTCAGTCCCTGATACTGAGAGTTCAGAGACTGCCACAAACACTATAACTGCAAAGGAAATGGACAAGAATGGTGCGTAGCATTTAAAAGATATGTGCTGCTCCCCAGTGTACATGCCCCAGATCAGTAAGAACCATATTTTGTTTTCTTTCTGGTCAGAGAGTGAAGAAGCAGATTTAGACGATCAGTCCTCTAATCGACTGTCCATCCGAGAGAGGAGGCGGCCCAGGGAACGTCGAAGAGGCACAGGCATCAACTTCTGGACAAAGGATGTAAGTGGATTGGTCCATTATTTTTTCTGTTGAATTCAAAAGAAAACATCCTACATTATACCTTGAATGCTGAGGAAAAAGAAAGACTCAACTAGTATGAAACTTACTTGGTATGTCCCTGCTGGATAGCTGGGACCCAGAGAAGTGCTCAGCATATCACAGGCATTCAGCAAATAATTGAAGAATTTCAAACTCATGTAGTCAGCAATATCTTAATACCAAATATAAACAGCGATTCTGACTAAATATTTTAGGAAAGATACAACAATTTCAAAATCTGTATGTTAACACAAGTTCATTTGACCCAAACATATCCCTTTAGTGAAAAAAGGGAACAAATAATATAAAACAAATAAACTTTTAAATAAAGGTGTACCAATACCTATTAACTACAGACATGCATTCGGTGTTTCAATGCACCCTCCTCCATATCATGTTCTGTGTCCTCTCACTCAGCCTTGTTGTTGACATTTTAAAAACTTAAGTGTTCAGTAACTTGAACCAGAGGCCCCTCATTACTAGTAATTCATTTAAAAAGTAAATTAAATCTAGTCAGTGAAATGAGAAGTGAGACAGTAACTGTTACGTGTTAAAAACTATCTTTTAGATAAAAGTATTTCCTTATTACAGGGCCAAACAAATGGATAATGTGTTTCCCCCAGTGCTGGGGATTGTACTTAGAGGGTTGCACATGCTACTGAAGCACTCTGTGCTTCATCTCCAGCCTGTATCTGGTAACTTCTGACAGAAATGAAATTATTCACTTTTCTCAAAGAGACTTTTTTTCTCCCTGGTTAATCTGACATTTTACTCTAGGTGACATTCTAAGTTTCCCTCCTGTGACAGCTGTTAAAAGTGCCAGTCATAGCAACACTTGGCTGTCAGTTCTCATTGCTTGTGTTTGAACTGCCAAGATGCATAATTGATAGGAACTGACCTTGTTGTATTCCGAGATGATCCTCTTGTTTTTCTTCCACTTTTTCAGGAGGATGAGGCTGGTGATTCTGAAGAGGTCAAAGAAAGCTGGGTAAGTGACAACCCAGTGAGACTTGTCTTGCTCTTACATATACAGTTTTCATAGAAGAACAGGCCCTGTGCATAATTGTGCTGGGGAGTTTGAAGACAGACATTCCTCTGAGAAGTGTGGCAGGAGTTAGTTCATGGTTCGTATCATATATTGATGCCCATGCTCTTAGACAAGTTTCCAACACCCATTTATGCCAGCTGCTAGTCTCTAACACCAGTATAGCCTTCATTTTTTTCTCTCTTGAATGTTACTGGATTATATGAAGTACTTGGAAGTCTTTGGAAGAAAAGTAAAAAGTGGTATTAATCTCCTTGTGAATATCCAGTAATAAACAGGGACGAACATACATGTATAGAATGTAAAATATTATTCTACAAGTCATTTATATTTGACTTTGAAGTAAGGTTCTTCTATAACTCCATCTCTGGAAGCGTGACATCAAACCCCTCTATACAGTTAAAGGCCCAGAGTTCCTGAAGATGATGATCTAGGTTCCTGTGAATTGCTCAGGTGCTGTAGAATGGTGGTGGTTTCATCTCAGTATTGTTTTGCAGAAAGGATGGAATTTGATTTTGATTAAATTAAGTAAAATAATACGTTTTTCTGTTTTAAATTGTGTAAAATTCTTGCCTTTTTATACTTAAAAGTTCTCACAATTTACTCAAAAACAAACTGAAAATCAGCAACTAATTATTAGCAAAGGATTAGTATATTGTCATTGACCAGCCTGTCTAAACAATCATTGATGTTGTTCCTGAAAGCTGTAGTCATGAGGACTAATGATAACACAGGTGAAATCACATATCTTTGATTAAAGCTAATGCTGCTTCACAAAAGTGAGTTGTATGATGTGGAAATACTGCCTTGAGGTTTCCTGGGGGCAGAAATGTTAGTGTGTGTCTGTTTGCACGCATGCAAACAACAGCAATTCTTAGATTCTTTATGGGGCTAGAAAAGGCTTTTATGGCCAGCAAATTATAGGAAGTTTCTTTGGGGAACTAATATTTAAAGATAGAATTTGAATAATAGATTACAGAACATTGAAATGGAACATAATCCCTAGAGGGTTATACAGGCCATTTTAATGCAGAGTTGCAACAAGAATGGTTTTGTTGTCATGGAATTTTTTTTTTAAGTAAAAATGTTTCTCTGTTTTTATAAATGTCTTGGCACTGGGAAATCTAGCCTATAATACCAAGTAAAAAAAATTAAGTTTTTTTTGTTTGTTTGTTTTTTGCTACCAGGGATCAAACTCAGGACCTTGCACTTTATAAGCAGGCACTATGCCACTAAGCTATGTCCCCAGCCCAAGATGATCTTGATGTAGTGCTTCTCAGAGAACTTCATTTTAGGACCATTGACTTAAAATTAAGTAAGAAAATTTTTTTTTCCTGGTTTTTGAAGAAAAGCAGAGACTTTTGAGAATGGTATAAAAGTCATTTGTCAGGCTGAAAAATAGTACATACGTTCAATTGCTCAAGGCATCTACTAATATTTAGCATGTGTCAAGCAGACTTCATTGTAAATCTAAAAGAAGTATATACAGCCTGTTACCTCTGAGCTGGTGACTTGAATGTGTGCAGGCCAGTAGGGTTTGGCACTGTGTTCCAATCTCTAGCCCCATCCATTGGCAGAAAGAAAAGCTAAGTAAACACTGGGTGAGAAATTGTCTTTGTTAGTCTTGTATTGGCTTTCTTCATTACTCCATTTTGTTTCTGTGAAACTCTTAATTTGTTTTTCTGCCCCTGAGCCCTCGTAGGCATAAAGCCTTGTAGGCATAAAATTGTCTGTAGGGGCCCACGGAGCAGCATACTGGAAATGGTCTGGTTTTGTAAATGGCTGCAATTCTACTTCAAGACAGTCAGCAGACTATTAGGAATCTTATGTTCACTTTTTCCTCCCTACTTTCACATCAAAATATCAGACAGGGGGCTGGAGATTTAGCTCAGCAGCATAAGTACCTGCCTTGCAAGCAGGCGGTTGTGAGTTCCATCCCTGGTACCGATAAAAAGTTAAAAAAAGTTAAAAAAACAAAACAAAACAAAAAAAATCAGACAGTAGAGATGAGCTAGTCAGAGATGGGACATTCTATTGAAATGTCACTGTCAGTTGTTCAGTGTGAGTTGTGCCCAGATGCCTAGGGTATTCTTTTCCTTCATGATTTTGGTTTCATAAAGCTTTATGTGCTATGGAGGTCATATCTGCTCCCTTTTCTCTCCTAGCCTACTCTTTAATAATGGTATCTGTTATTTTTAAAGTTCACAGTTCCCAAGACTCATATACCTATTAAAAAACTGAAATATAACAAAAAATACGTAAATTTTAAATGAACCACTTGGCATGTTTTGATATTTGCATCTACAAGTATAACCACCACCCCTATTAAGATATAGAACTTTTCGTTCACTGTAAAAAGTCCTCTCATGCCTCTTCCCAGACAGTTCTCTCTCTTGAAAGGTAAACATTCTGATTTCTTACACTATTTATTCACATTGACTATTAGTATATATGGAATCATCCTGTTATCATCAAGGGTAGAAAGGAAAACTTCAGTATTATCTTTGCCTTATGCCACTAGGAGGATTAGGGCAAAGTGATTTCGAGGACATATGAATTTTCTCCCAACTTTTTAAAGATTTCAAAGGAAGATTCCTTAATTTCTCACCCATATGTCAGTAATAACAGCATGGTTAAAAAGACTTTTCTATTGTTTAACCTAAATCTCTGTTGATATCATGAAATCCACTTCCTTTTTTTATGTACGTAGAAAAATGTAAACAAAATTTATAAAATTATGGCCAAGAATGGCCCTGACAGATGCTCTCTGTAGAGTAAATGAAGAAGAGGTCAGGCAGGCATTGCTGTGCTATTAACAGTGAAGAGCAAGGAACACGATGAGAAGACTGGAACTTGACTGACACCCAACATAGTGTCTAGTTTTAGTCAAAACTCACCCCCATTGGTAAATCATCAGCCAGTGAGACCAACAAAGAATGTATAATTTGATGTCTTGCACTTCCTTGACAGATATATTCAAAACAGTTCTATTTCACTATCCACATCAGGTTTTTGACAGTCACAGGAAATCGTTTTTTTTTTTATTTAAAGAGAAAAAAAAGAAAGGAAATAAATAAAGCAGTAAAAGGGTACAAATAATACAGTATTTCAAGAAAAAAAGTATATAGTAAGAAATCACCAGTTAATAGGTTACATGTTATCTTCCCAGGAACAGTTGTCCAAATTACGAAATTAAAGCATATAAAGTGGACATTCATACAGTGAAATTGGAGACAGTTCCATTCAATGATCCAACAAAAGCTCAGTAATATGGTTTTCCATCCTACACACTCGAACGTACCTGCGGTTATATCCCTTAGTCCACCTTCCTTTCCTCTCTTTTTTACAATAACAATTAGACTTTTTGGGTTTTATTATTGTTTACTTTTTTTGAAGAGAATAAAACCAAATGTGACTAAGCAAAACAGAGTCAGTTAAAACAGAAGGGTGAGCATAGCACATGATGCAAAAATAGAATACCAGGTGATCAAAAGTGGTTACCATTGTGCCTCTTGCTATTTTTAAATCGAGTTATCTCTATCATTAGGTATAATAGAATTGATCAAAACAGTACAGAACAAGACCAATAAAACCTACTCTGAAGACCTTGCAGGACTTCAAAAAAAGGTTAATAGTCAAACCATAATGGGCATCATAGTATATCTTATTGCCTTCAAAGTGGTTGCCTATACCCTCAAACTTGATACTATCAAACAAAATAGAATATAGAATAATCAGACAGAACAAGATGGGAAGAGCAATACTGGGGTTCAAATCGGGTTAATAGGAAAACCAAGAAAGTTACTATAATATGTCCCACTATTTTTAATTTAGTTTTCCCTTAATTAAAAAAAATAAGAGAAAATAGATCAATTTTTTAAAAAGGGGGGGGGGTGAGATAACAGAGGACAATTTAACAGAACAATGCAGGGCAGAACCGAACCATTCAAGCATCATTGTGTTTCACCATCAGATAATCTAATATAATAGTAGTCGCCATAGTGCCTCTTTTCCTTGAATTATTTGAGTGTAACTTCGTATGCTATAACATCAAGCATATCAAGACAGTGTGAAGCCATTCAAGAGAATGCAAGAATTACAGGGTATTTAGAACCAGCTAATAGAAAACGAACAATGGTTTCTTTATTATCTCTTTGCCTATGAAGAATTTTGTTTATATTATAGCATATAGTGAAATATAGTAAGATACAACATGTTAAAAGTCACAGGAAATCTTAAAGAGATTCGTTGTCTTGCTTAGTCAAAAAGAAACTAAATCAGAATCTTAATTTGAGGAAGAAGTTATTTCCATCATGCCTAAATGATTCGGTCATACTTTTATATCCAAGAGTGTTTGGTGTTTTCTTTACTATAGGGTAGTCTGAGGGATACTTTGTCAAATGTCCAAGGGTTGGCTAAAATGAAAATAGTAGTAAACCTTAAGTTAGGTAGAGGGCTGGGGATGTAGCTCAGTGGCACAGCACCTGCCTGTCAAGTGCAACACTTTGAGTTTGATTTCTAGTATAAAAAATATATATAGTAAATGTTAGTAATAAAATAATTACAACAGTGTATTATAATTAAATCACTATTCTTGCACTTTTGGGTTATTGAGTAAAATAAGGGCTAAACTTGATCACAAATATTTGATAATTAATATTATAACAATTGATCTGATAAAAAGTTTATTAAGTGGTGAACAGGCAATAGAATGTACAGTGTGGATTGCTGGGAAGAGGGATAATTGATGTTGCAGACAATACAGAGCAAGATGGCAGGAGATTTCATCTCATTCACAGAGCATCACACAATTTAAAAATTATGAGTTATTCTAAGATTTAAAATTTTCAGACACCAGCTGACTACAGTATAGGTAACTAAAACTGAAAAGCAGAATTGCAGACAAGGTGGGGACCTGCTGTAGTAGAAATGGCATAGAATGT